TTTCCGAGCCACGCAGAATGAGACAAAGCTCTGGGAAACTCACTACAAGCAAGATGCAGGCAAACGTGAGGGAGCCGAGGAAACCACAGCAGTAACTGTGAAGGGCTGGAGGGTCTCCTCTTTGAGGAGAGATCAAATGAGCTAAATGTGTAGGTCATCTAAGCAGCTGATAGAAGTAGACCTGCACAAGATGAGCAACTGAAAGACTGGGACTGTCCACATGACAAATTAGCACAAGTCCAGAGGAGGCGAATCTGGATATTACTGTTCTGGCCTCAAAACAGTGGAAAATACAAAGAAACTGGAAGGCAGCTTATTTAAAATGTGCAACACGCTGCCTTTTCCGTGATTAGCCCGCAGAACTCATTGCTATAAAATTTATTCAAAGCCAGAAGATTTCCAGGACTGAAAATAGCTAAGATAGCTGTCTGGATGAAAAGGACAGTCAGTAGTATCTTAGGTTAGAAGAAATTTCAGAGAAAGTAGGGATGAGGAAATGCAGGGCAAGTTAATAAAGTGTGCAGGTGTTTGCAGGCTTGACGTCTCTCCTGTGCATCAGTGCGTACGTTGATCCACCATGGTGGGGACTGAGACAAGCTGCCTGCTCAGCCTGTTTTTTGGATGTGCCTCACCTCACTGCCCCTTTCTAACTCTGGACTGGGCCTACCCTCTTCTGTTTTAGCTTGGCCATTTTCCTCAGTCAGACCTCAGCCTGAACATTTTTGGAAACAGAGTGTCAGTCATGGTGCTGTCCCTGGGGAGATGGGAAGCCCTTTCCACACTTGATGGATGTCCCACCTGGCCTAATTCCACCACGTCAGGAACCGGAGGCCACCTGTCTCTGCCTGCCCTCCAGCCGATGTTGAAGAGATCTCTTTTATTCTAGTGCTTATTCCTTTGCATATTCCTGCGTGTGAATCTGCCAGCAGTGTCTGGGCACACCACAACCCTTTGCACTGTGTGAGGTTTGGGAAGGGCAGCACAGGCTGTCTGTCACTTCAGTCCCTTTTTGGGCTGTGATCCGAGATCTGCAACTGCGCTAGCTTGTTGGCTTCTCCTTAGAACATGAAAATTATTTCCCTTTAGGTTTTAGTTTTTGATAGCTTTTGAAAACCTACGGTGGTCCTTTGGAAGACTTAGGTTATTTTAAAGGGAATCATCTAGGAGCACTGAGGGCAGTTTGGCCACTGTCCTGTCCCAAACGGCCGTCGGTGACATGGTGAGGTGAAGAGCTACAAGTAACCCAGCAGGAGTACTTGCCTTGGTGTACACTCATGGCATCTGCCCACCTGCAGCCCTTGCAGGGCTGATGAGTACACTCGCATGCCATGGGAGGTTCCTGCTAGCTTATCATGGTTTTGGGAGTGTGAAACCTGGTAGGGTACGTTGCCCCTGGAGTGCACAGAGGGACAGCACACTTCCATGGACTCAGTTACAGTGTCTGCGAGTGACTGCTCTCTTCTGCTGTTGTGAACAGCTAACAAGAATGGTACTCGCTGCAGAGCGGGACCTGAGTCAGTTCAAAGATGCTGATTCCTCATCAGCAGATTCCCTCTATGTTTGGCATGGCTTTTCTCAAAAGGCACCGGGTCCCCTTGGGATGAGGTTGGTTCTGTAGAAGTGGAGCCGATGATTATCAGGTTGTTTTAATTTGGAGAGGATGTGCAGCAGTTGTCAGGCAGCACTACATACCTAATTGGGTATTCAACTTCCAGCTGGTAGATTGAGACTGAAAGGCAGAGCTGTGGGATGGAGACGGGCAGGCAGAAGATGCTGAGGCTCCTAATCTTTTACAGTATGTTTGTTTAATACAAAGTGGTCTGCTGAGATTGTTTTGCAGTGTAGAATAATCATTGTGTGCTGACTAATGGGAGACAGCAAGATGTTAAAGAGCATCATTAAACTGTACAGGAGGAGATTGTTGAGTATTTTCACAAACATTCAGGATGTGAAGAGTAAAGAATATTACTTGAAGGTAGCCCTCAGAGATTTTTGGCTATTGCATTCAAGTAACTGCAACAAGAGTATTTGTGGACAAACATATAGAGCTTCCCAGAAAGAACAGTGCAAAAAAAGAACTCGAGCTAGCTTTCCAACTCCAGATTGTGCTGATACGAAATAAATAGTGCTTTTCTAAACTTGTTCCTTTATTTCATATTCATTATTTTGAAAATTTCCCCTGTTAAATTTATATAATGTTGTTCCAGGAAATACTGGTCCTCTTTACAGAAGATAACATATGCAGTGCCCTTCTGATACTCGGATGTCAGAATTTTTTATACTTTGCTTCCCTGACTGCCTAACTGTAGGGCTGTTGTCCTTGTCCTTACAGCTGCTCCTGCTTCAGTATACTAATTCCTATTCCTGCTATTGCTATGACTTAGAACTCAATGCACTTAGCGCTGAGAGGAGCATGCTCTTCCATCATGCGCCTTGCACAATGGATAATAAAATTCTCCAATTTTGGCTGGTGGAGAGTATGAAAACCTATGTTTCATTAGGAATACTTTTATACAGCCCTACTAGTATTCTGCCTGAGTTTAATGCAAAAAATAAATAACATTTTGTGGGCTCTATTTGCTGAGTGGTTTTGTTCTTTGTAAGTAATGGGGAATTTTTCCCATGCTGGATTCCAGTGTCAAATCCACTTTGTGCAAACATCGTTTTCCATTTATTCATTGGCACCAGGGAGACAAGATAACATTGAATTTATTTTTTCAGTTTTGTTTCTTCTAAATTAGTGTTAGAGAATTGGACCTCGGATATTATTTTAGCGAACAGCAAGAGATGTCCTGGGATTCCCTGGGGATTATGATAAAGAGGGACCCTTGGTTCTTGTACAAGGGCAAAGATAGACTTCTCTTGGCTCCATCTCTCTATTCAATGCCTTAAACAACAGAGGTCTCCTTTAACAGGTAGTTCTGCATCGATTAAAGCCTTTAATGTGTTAGGAAAAATTCAGAGAAGTTTACTCCTTTTCTGATTTGATTGAATTTCTTAATCTTTTGGGGGGGGTGGAGAATAACCATCAGAAGACTATGGAGAAGATTAATTACTTGGCTGCAAAACTCTTGAAGATACTCTGATGAAAGATGTGGTATAAGTGAGTGAAACCCTGGTGAAGTTGCTGACAGTGGGGAAATTTAACTGTGACTGCAGCCCTTGTGCCTGCAGTGTTTCATACCGTAAGAGAACGTAGTCTCATCCCCTGTATGTCCTAAGCTTCTGAATTGGTTTCAGTAGTGAAACCCTCCCTACTGATCGATTGGAAAAAAAAAAAAAATCCTTTTTTCTCCAGATATACCAGCTGGTTTGACCCTGAGCAGTTGTAGCTTGACAGTTGCAAAGGCAGGGAGGGCATCGCTACCTTGGGACTCTTGTCCTTCAGCTCGTGCTGCTTTGAGCTCTGACCGTTCTCTGGTACTTCAGAGAAATGCCAAAATATCCCTGACTTTGAGGAACTTGTCAAAGCCCTAATATGTGAGATACCAATATCTTAATGCAGATCTGCAGATTTAAAACCCCAAGGAGTTGTTGAGCTTTACCCGTGGGCAGGGAAGGGAGGGCTTGCAGAGCAGTTTCAAGGCTGGAAGGGGCTATCATTAGCACAGAGCTTGACCTGAGCTGAGCTTTGGCCAAAGGATTCGTCCCTGGAGCTGCAATGAAGCATTTCATGGTTCATTAGCCTCACAGTAGGAAACAATGTCTTACTCTGAAGCTGAATGTCTAACTCAAATTTTCATCCATTTGATCTTCTTACGGCTTTGTCAGCAATGTCTGGTCTCTCACCACTTTCTTTTCCACTTTCTTTTAGCATCTAATCCAAATTATATATCTGCCTCCATGAATGGAATAGTTTGAGCTCTTGAAGTTTCATACTATAAGGCTTGCTTTCGGGGCTGTGAGTTGTTGGGTGACCTGCCTTTGGCTCCTACTCTTTTTCCCTGTGGTTTTTTGAAGCGTGAACTCCAGAGCTGCACACAAGTTCCAGGAGAATTCTGGGATTTGTGCAGGTTGCAGAGGCAGCATTGCTTTTCTGAAACTTCGCTGCTTTTTGGCTGAGCTGATTGGCAGCTTGTTGCCGTAGCAGAAACAGAAGATGCCATTGAACCAAGAACTGTTTCCCTGAAGGCCTTCACAGGGTACCTCTTCTTATGGATGTTTCCCTGCTGACAACTACGTTTTGAGATGAGTCACTGAATGAATGTTCAATCCACTAGTAAAACTGGCAAGGCAATTACCATCTTACAAGTTCTTCAAATCAAATTGCTAGAGAACATTAAATCAAATGCTTTGGAGAAATCCCAGTATATACAATTGCTTTTATCATCTGGACTGTGATTCTGTCACAAAAAAAGCTTTGTTTTATTGGGCACTATCTTCAGTGAAAGTGTGCTGCCTAGTACTCGTTTTGGTCTTAGCCTCTACTTCTTTGTCTCTGCTCCATTATTTTCCTTTTCCTGTTTGTTACCCCATAATGAGAACTGAGAATTAATGGATTTCTAACTTACAGTTGTCACCCGTGCTTTTTAGCATTGCTAAGTACAGAAAGCATTTGCAAACTGAAATAATAGTGTTAGTCATGAGATAATTAATCTGTTATGACAATGTGGTGACTTGAAGCACGACGGTGAAGAAGGTCACTCCGCTGGTTCTCCCTTTTTGCACTGTGTGTTGTGTTTTGCTCTGAAGTCAAACAACCCACTCCTCGGTAAGAGGGAAGCGTGTGGAGCCCTTCTGTATTACTCATCGGCTAGTAGACTGTGAATCTGCAAACAAATGACTACAGGCAGCGCTTTGGTCACTGAGGCTGGTACCTCACAGAAAGCACATTGGCTTAATTCAGTTTTCACTGCCATGCACTTAGAGAGCCAACTGAGAGTGTAAATCTTTGGTACATCCTAGTCCAAACATAAGTTTTGTGTTGTTTCCTGGTGGGAGGATTTTTTCAGAGAAACCTACCATAGTTCCCCCCCTCTTTTTTTTTCTTCTCTGTACAGGTGAAAACAAGAGAGGAAGAACTACAGAAGGAGGGGTTCTCTGCCACTGCTAGAAAGATACAGGAAAGTGTTGAACTAAAACTGCTAGATCTTAGGTATCTTTGTGCTCCAAAAAAAAATAAAATGCACGGTTCGTGCAGACTGGTGTTCAGAAGCAAACATCCTGCCAGCAAAACGGTCTTCGGTAGGTCTGTATCCAAGGAGCCTTTTTCAGCTGTCAGCGCTACAGAGGTGATCAGAGAACTGCAGATGAGAGAGGCCAGCCTGGAGAGAGAGCTGAAGCAGCTGCGGGAAGAGTGCAGGCAGAGGATGGATGAAATTGCGGAAGGGTTGGATGGAGTGATTTGTATCTCCCCTTGAAGAGAGAAGGATGGACTGAGAAGAGCAAAGGAATAGACTGACTTGATCAGAACACATTGTGCAGCTTGGCATGGGGGAGTGCGAGGTGAGGAACCAAATGTAATTTCTGATTTTTAAGCCTGGGAATCATAACTTGTTACTGCTTTGTGACTTGCGCTGGGGCCATAACCTTGGTGGTTCTCTCTGCAGCCTCTTTATTGCTAACCTTGCCAATTAAATTCTGCAGCAGGCCTTGGTGGGAGTGTGCGTAAATCTCCCTTTTATCTTTCACATTTCTAGTTCTTCTGCCAAGCACTGGGCTCTTTTACAGTGCTCAGCTGCCAGGCACAGCATACATTGAGGCTGCACATTGAAGTACTAATTGCATTCAATATTTTCCAGCAAGTGGAAGAGTTCATTAGTCAGAAAAATCCAGGTATTGGAGAACATGCAAAGTACCAAGGCTTAGAGAGACTGGAAATGTTCAAGAAAGTGTGCTGTTTTAATTCATCTGGTTTGCATATTTGTGGCAGCTATAATGGAGTCACCATAACAAAAAACAAATGCCTAATAATAAATAAAGCAGAACGCTGATTTCATTTAGTGGTGTGATGCACTTGAAGTAATTGGGTTCTCAAAGAGAACAAACTAGAAACCCATTCCACTGTGTTACGAGTCACAATGAGATAACTTATGGATCTGCTCTAGGAAGTTTCTGTAAAACAGAAATATGACCTTAAGTTCCAAGCTTGAGGAGTCTCCAAGCTTTTGTCTCTGGAGGCTTCTTCCCCTGGAACATGCAAATATTTTTCACTTGGCATTCAATTCCTACCCTTTTCTGTTTTGCTTTCACCAACAAATATTTTTATATTCTGGTTGTACACTTTCAGGAATAAATAAAATTTTAAAAAAAGTTCACTTTTCATTTGTGAATTGCTATGAACAATGGGCTTTCCTCCATCTGGATTTGTGTCTACTACCCCAGCTCGGTGGTGTCGCTGGTTACCAGCTGCTCTTGCCTGACTCAGCAGCCAAACGTGAGGAACCTTTAAGGACCTTGTTCCGGGCATCAGAATCATAATTGCTGCTCTGCAAGGAGACCATGTCCAGGTGGGAGTGGGTGGACAAGGCTCAGATCTCCTGGTTTCTGCTGTACCAGGTAAACTTCGGATGCTTCCAGACCCTGCTCATCTTCACCACCCATATTGGTTCTCGTGCAGTTTTTGCAGAAGTGAGTGGCAGAGTGGAGAGCCACACAGGGAGGGGTAGTTTGCCCTGGTTTCACCTGGTTGAACACAGCATTGCTGCTAGGCCAGGGGCATACAAGCTCAGTTTAATGTAGGCCAAGTTTCAGACAGCCTTTCCTCTGCATGGACCTGGTGGCTTGTCCAAGGACCATGCTTGAGCAAGGCTGGTGGGAAGTGCAATTCTCAGCTAGAGACCTCAACTCCAGTCAACCCTACACAGATGGGACAGCCCCTGGGAGCAGGGTGTTTGTGTGTGTTGATGAGGCTGTCAGTCAGAACCACTGTTCCTGCTGTCACCTGGCACTAGGGGTGACAAACATAGTCCTGGAGTAGAAAACCCCGGTGGGCTAGTGAGATGCATCTCTGGGGCAGGTGGCCCCAGGCTGCTGCTCCTGCAAGAATAGCCCTGGCTTTAAAAAGCCAATCCATGTCACTCTACTTTTCAAATGATCTCTGTAGGTGCAGGGTACCAAGCACTGAACTGTTTTAAGCTGGTACAACTTTGGCTCCAGGGCTACTGACATTCAATGCACAAGAGGACTTACTCAGACACAGGTCTCACAGAAAATTATTCGTGAATGGGAAAGAAACAGTATATCCTAGAACTAACAAGAGTGGTGGCACCAGTCTGTCTCTCTGAGCATTTTATATCCTCCTTCAGCTTTTATACAAGGGAATTTTCATACTGCATCACATTTAGGTGTAAAACATTGCCCTCAAAAGATCCTTTGTTCTCCTGGGATTTTCAGCAGAGAAGAGCGGGCAAATATTCTTGAGTATGGCAAGAGCACTCAGATTCAAGTGCAGGTCTAGCTCATGCCTTGCTGTGGCTTATCAGAGTTGGCTTACTGCTGAACGCTGCCATCCACTTAAACTGAGAGTAGTCACTCATGGGATGACTGATTTCCTAGTATCAAATAAATATTTGTCACCATGGAGCACTTAGTGCAGTGTGCTTCAGTGTTCATCCAAGGACCCTGTTTCAGCCGAGACCACAATTGGTAATGCCTTCCCCCTGCTTGACCCTGACGAATTATTTTTCTCTCTGGTAGAATGTGAAAAATGACAGCACTCAGTGTGTCTGTATATATATGTGTGTGTGTGTGTGATGTAGAAAAGTGCCTACAGTGAATCGCAGACAGCTGCATTTACCACATGGCACAAGCCACTGTACCGAGGTGGCTGTATGAGAAGCGGTTGGGAGAGCCGGTGGGTTAGAGCTGGAGCTGCTTGTCCTGGCGTGTACATTGAGAGGGGCTACAGCTGAAAGCCACTTAAAAGAAGATCACCTTTCCACCCGTCGTGCCGTGCTGGCCTTGCGCACTTCTGACACCTCGTGCAAAGAGCATTGGCAAGTACAGTTTTTATTTTCTGGCACCGATTTCCAACTGCCTTTTGTTTCAGGTACCAATTAGCAGTTTAAACCAGAGCACATATTCTATGGTCCCTGTTGAAGGTCAGCAGGATATTTTGAGCTGGCAGTAGTTTTAAAACCAATTCCTGCAGCCCCCCCTTTCCTTTGCCACTCTTCTCAGCACCAGCACGGAGAGCACAAAGCGGGAGGTACTTTAAGGGCTTGGCGTTCTCACACACCAAATTTTGGAGGGTAGTTTTCCTGTGAAGGCTGCCTTTTCAAAATCACAGCACCTCCGCAGGAGTTGGGCACAAAGGGACTGAGCTGTGGTCATGCCTCGGTGATAGTCACAACTCTTGAGGCATATCCATGCATCTGAAATACAGACGCTGTCCAATCCTCGTGAGCTTGGCGAGGCATCAGCTGTCTCTCCAGTACTGTTGGGAGATGCTGGATGACAAACACCATTTAAAAGCCTAAGAAAATCGCCCCTGGATTAACATCAGCTGCAGTGAGGGCAGGGAAGTGAACTGGGTGACCACAGTCACACTTAATGGGACATCATCTAGGAATAAATAGATGTTTGTCACCTCATACCATTAACATGGCATTTGAAATGTTTTCCTTCCCTTATTTAGGCTGACTTCTCTCACCCACCGTCATAGCCCTCTGGTTTTAAAGGCTGCAATGACCTTCTCGGTCACCGGGGCTTGGTCCCCGTGTCAGCAGTCGAAGATGCTGTAGAAGGGGGAATGGCTGCTCGGGGAGACGTGAGGCAAGCAGCAACCAAATGACTGGTTGGTCTCTGGCAGATGCTGTGAGAGGCAGAAGATGACTCAAGCAGTACATTTCATCCACGGACTCAAGCATGCTCGGTAAATGTTAAGTATTACTTCACAGAAATTGGAGAGTGTTGTAAACAACTCACTACTGACTGAAAAGTAAAGGTACAAGCTGTGAAGTGGTTTGTCCTTTGCCATATCACCACGCTGGTTGTACATTTCCTTCTGAGAGCAGGAGCATGCCCTAAAACTGTTGATGAAGAGAGAAGAGTGGGTATCAGCTGGAGAAGCTGATAGAGAGCGAGTGCCACGTTGTGTGCAACCAGTTGCTCAATTCAAGAGGTGGGGGAAGGCTGGTGGTGATGCTGCCCTAACATCTGGAATAGGCAGCAGGCTTTGTTTTGGTTTGTTCATTGGTTTTTTGAAGAGGCTACAGCAGAAGTTCTCCCTGTTGGTGCGTCCTGAAGGGAGTTAGTTGAGTTTGGGTTTGGATCCAGGGTTTCTAAGTGATCTCAGGAAGAGAGGAGCGTATTTGAGGCGATGGTCCTTGCTGGAGAAGCAGGAAACAAGGGTTAAATCAACACCTGCCAGAGATGCTGCACATGGTTGTGGGGTACACCTGACAAGGGTCAGGCAGTAAAGAGCTGTCCCAGATGTTCACCTGGTGGTGGCTCACAGCAAAGCCTGTCCACAGGAAGCCCCCCCAGCAGCTAACCCTCCGTGGGGGGCCGGCAGCGCGTGGCCTTTTGCTTCATGCTCTGGTAATGCTTCACTGAAGACAGGCTGAGTTACTGCTGCAGTGTTTAAACCAGACTCTCTGGTGATGGATGGCTGCCAAGCGTAGCCTTAAGAGAAGCTTTTACAGGGCTTCTGCGTGTGTAGTTTCTGGTAGGCCAGCATGGAGGTGTTTATAGAAGAGCACAGTTTAACCCCTTTCTCTGATGCGACTGGTGCTTGCTTTCCAAACATCTTGCTAGGAAAATGGAATTGGCCATAAATACTTAATTGGCTGATAACTCTGGCTCGCACTGTGTAGCTAGAAATATTCCTCCCCAAATAACTGAGCATCAGCCAGCTTGCCATCAAATCAGGAGGTTTACTTTGGAAAAGGCAAGCGAGGCATCTGCAGTCACTGCTCCTGACAACATTGCGCCTGCTGGTAAATAAGAGCTGCAACCTATGTTTAAAAATAAGAGCTGCTGGGAATAGTGATTTCCAGCCTAGAGTGTTTTGGGTTCCCTGTGGGATTCCTCCACCAGCTGCTGCAGGAGGATGAGCTGGAGGCAGTCGGTGTGAGCGTGTGTGCATGGCAGCGTGGTGGAGGCTCGGTGGGAGCTAACACATGCCTGATGGCAGAGCTCCCTCTCTGACCCTCAGCCGCTTGCAGCGAGAGCCTCTCGGGTCTTGCACCCTCACCCTTCGCCTCCTGCAGCCGACAGCTTGTGTGAAGCGGTCTGCCGGTCCCGCTGCTCCTCGACTGACAGCCCAAACCCTTGTGGCTGGTGTCCTGTAGCCTTTTCGTCCTCCCAGCCCCTCTGTACCTGCCCTGTGTCCCAGCTGCTGGGCCATGACTAGATCCCTATCCCTATCCCTAAGGGGTTTTGTTGCCCAGCTGCTCTGAAATGGATGACAAGGAAA